CCCCCCCCCCCCCCTTTTTTTTAACCTCACTTCTTGTTTTTGCTTCTACTTCCCCTTGGGCCTTCTAAAGCACAGTAGAGGTTATAGTCACGTCACCTAAAAACCAAATGCACCTGCGTGTCAAAGGGCACAGCTGTCAAAAGACAAGCAAACTTAGCATTTAAAACTTGACATTAGCCAGCAGGGTATTTCAAAGAAAAACAAAAAGTTGACTTCACTGCAAAACATAACACTCTTTTCCCTCGCCATATGCAGCCTTTATGTTCATGTGCAAAACAAGTGAACTGGACTTTTCCTTTAAAACACCTCGTTAACCTGAAAACTGTCGTATATTACTCAGAACTGCTGTGAGGACATTTCTGCTACATTTTGATCTATTACCAAACGTGTTTTGTGTACAAGCTTGGGCAGCCAATTTAGAAACAATACTGTACAGCAGTCAAAAGGGATGACGCCGACAAACAGTCTGAATGGTCCAAATTAGTTAATGAGCTCTGAATTCTTTGTTTGACACTCAAACGAGCAAACAAGCCCACCATTACTGTGGCTTGAAGAAGAAGGGGATGGATGCCAATGACAGTGTGATAATAGTTTTAGTGTGGTGGGTAGATTTTAACTCCTTAGGGAATCTTTGGTTTAGGGAGGCATGAAWGACTCAAAGGAATAAAGGTATTTGGTTGACTCGTGATCGGGCTGTCACAACATTAAATCTCTGCYGAGCTCAGATGTTTTGAGAGGCTAACAGTGGAGGAGCTTGAACCTTGGCTCCGGCGTCAAAGCAGGGAAAGGCCTCTGAAGGTAAGCCACCAGTGCCCCCTGGTTTGGATGCACTTGTGAAGGCGAGAAGACTGCGGCACGCCRGGGCCAGTCAACCCAGCAGATCTTGTAGCGAACTATTTCTGCAGCATCTCAGCAAGGGGCTCTCCACCCATGCTGTGCTGCAGACTGAGATGCTGACGCTGGACTGTCTCTGCCAGTTATCCCCTGTGGAGCGCAGGAACCGAGGCACGATCCGTCCCGAGAAGATGACTCAGCTTGTCAAATCCGGCTGCCACGGACACCTCTACCTTAGTAGCTTCAAGAGGACGGTCATCATCTGTACAAGTTGCTTTCCCTGATCTAGTCCTTGTGAGCTCACTGTGGTCCTCGGTGGGGGGAGTTTTTATTAGTCTTTCCTGGCGGGGGTGCTCGCTGGGATGGGGGTTGAAAGGCTGTAGTATTTGAGGCTGCAGGGACAAAAAGAAAAAAATATATATCAGTAAAGCAAAAATGAAATCAGCAAACAGTGTTTACAAAGGTAGTGTGTTTGATCCCCACGGTATTCATGCTGTGGAATATTTTGCTGCTGAGAATGAAATTTTAAATCAAAGAGCAAACAAAAATTTGGCTTTTTGTCCCCCACTTGTTTTTCTTTACTCTGCATTAACACAGCATGTATCTTTTGACGGTGTCCAAACTGTTCTCAATATGGGACATGTTGACACAGAGGAGGCTCTGAGAAACAAGCAGAGAATAAGATTGGAATGTTAGGGTCTGGAAACTGCTGTTTTTGACAGATAAGAAGCCAGATAAGAAACACATCAAATCAGCACCGAACAGAAAAAATAGCTCAAGATGGAAAAGTCAGTGCTCACCTCCTATACGGGCAACAACCGTGGCAGAAAAACAAGTTCATGTTTTAAGTAACAAGCGACTCAGAACATCAGCGAAGTGGTTTTATGATGTTTCTAATATTAGCGGTTTAGTTTGAGACAGATCTGGAGCCTTTTTTTGATGATTGTCAATTTTTTTTTATCAGAGAACTGCTCTTTGGGCAACTCTGTGGCTTGGCAGGACCTTCAGCGTTCAACCCACCTGAAACCATCTACAGCCACTAATGAGCCTGAACTCCGTTTTGGCACAAACATACTTTCTGAGTGGGAAGTAAAAGGATCTCAGAGGATGTGAATATATAGCTGTACCGGTCAGGCTGCTGTGTCTGTTTCTGGTCATTTGTACATTAAGTGTGTTAGTGTGCGTGCATGTGTGTGTGTGTGTGTGTGTGTGAGCAGTTGTCCGGCACCACAGCTCCATCTCCTGGTGCCCTGCCACACTGCGTCCATTAAGCCTTTCTACCTCAATGAGGGTTTTATTGTATATTTTTGAGATAAATGTTTGCAGATTCAACAGTCTTATGAATAAAATATATCTTAAAGTAACACTCATAATTCTGCTGCTCAATCCTAAGAATGTTATTAATACCCCCCACATCTCATCTATTCCTTTCATGTCATGATTTATCGTAAGAAAAGGAGAATCGATATTGTCCTTTCTTGTAGACTAAACATTTTGAATACAGAGTTTGGAGTAAGTCAAGTAAACTGAAATGTCTATTGATGTCAGTAATGTGACACCTTTAATTGTAAGGTTTGTCATGTGTGCACACCGTACGGTGTATTTTTACCTCTCCTGGTTGGGAGAAGCCAGTTTGTGATAGCGACATGACATGACTAAAGGGTTGCAGCCAGTAATTATTTGCATCTACAGCTGTCTGCTTGAGATACTGATAATTTGCAGMAATCATTCTGAGCTCTTTACTGCACTGTCACTGAGTAAATGTCTCAGCTGCTAATGATAGCTATCGCGCTAACAGAAATTCAGCAATGYGCCAATTTGTGGCACATGGAAGATGCCGTGGCCCATCATGATCAGTCTCGTCCCCCGCTTCCTTCACCATGAGTTGATGATTAGAAAACATGCAAGGAAATGAATATATGGATTGAAGGGTTGTGAGGGCTTCGTAAGAGCACATATGATTGTGTCAAGTTTGTAGGAAGATGGGATTGTCAGTAAAGAGCCACAACATCAAGACTWGATGGAACTCAACATGTCATCTGTGACGGCTGTGTGTGACTGTGATTTGTTAAAATTGTATCAAGCTACCTTTACTGTTACGACAGAAAAGAAAGRAGTAAAAAAAGCATCCACATCCATTAGCACAGGGTCAGTATTAAATGTCATTCAATTTGAAAGCTGCGAAGCACACAAAGCATGCAGTTCATACAATCTTAATGTGACAAAACATAATAATAAAACATTAACGAAAGCTCAATAAAGATTATATAACATATATTGCAAACAAAACTAAATGAAGCCCCAGACTTTCATCCACTAAAAAAAAGGACAAACCAACGTCCCCAAAAAAAGTACACAAAGTCAAAACTCAAAACCCAAATCAAATCATGCAAATGAATGTAGAAGGGCATGCTTCTGTCAGGCCATATGTCGCCAGGCCACAGTTCAGTGAGCAGGTCCGAGTGGGCTGCATTTCGCATGAGAGAAAGGGCTACTGTACCACGCTTTGTCAGTGAAGTACTGCACTAGCTGCTCCACTCCTTGCCAAAGATGTTATGCATTGAGGAGGCAAAGGTAGAGGAGAGAGAGTGAGGGCGATTCAAATAGATTTCTTTCAGAGACGAAGTGAAATGAGGAGCAGAGGAGTTTAAACAACAGGGAGAGTGAGTCAAACTAGTTGCAGTGAGGAAATACGGCAGCCAAAGAAGGTGCGACGACAAACAAAACCAACATTTATTCAGCCAGATGTGTTTTCTATCCTAAAATTAAAACAAAGTTCATTCAAAAAARGTCAGACATTAATTTAGGAAACAAGCCACTGAAATGTCAAATATAATCACAACAGCCACCACTCTTTTTAACGTTGACTGTATTATTTTACTTTGAAGAAATGCCCTGTTGACAAGATATCCTGGTTGGTTTGTTTACATGCAGAACTCAAACAAGGTATTATTGCATTTGTTTAATGAAAAAAGGCATTTTGTTGTTTTTCATATTAGATGTAAACACAACACCAGACTGGTTTTATTTACCTTCTTTTTTCCCCTTATTTGTTCTCTTCCAGTATTAGAAAATGCCTCTGTTATTTTTCTAAATTATGTTTAACATTAATAGACTCATTTCAATGTGATCCCTGACTCAAGTCTGGGTTGGATTTATGATTTAAACAGTAGRCACAAACAGAAGAGAATAGGAGACAAAAAGAACCTGAAATGCACTTTAAAAGATACCTTTATTTCATTTTTTAATACTATTGATAGAAACCTGAGCCCCAGTGAGAAAGATCTGTTTCTTCTCTTTGTGCTCTTCACTTTCATGTGTGTATTTTCTGAAGTACTGTATGTTCACTCATGATTGTTGTTCTTTACTTGTCCACACATCATAATACAAAAGCTTTGTTGCTGTCAAACTGAATAAGGTGAGGTTATTGTGACTATACGGTTACTGTTCAGTCCTGTTTTTTAATGAAGTTTTATAATACAGAAGATGTGTTTCAAGAGTAAACAGCATGTATTTCTGTATTTTTGTTAAAACTAAATCTACATTGGCTGATGGGATTCTAGTATAATATTTCCAAGTATAATTTTAATCTATCCCTGCCATGAATTACAATAAATGCACTATTCCTAAATGAACCACAAAAAGTCATTACAATGAGAAAGCGTGAGGAATCAGTGGGTTTATAAGAAAACAACCAAGTCAAATAATTTGTGACTGAATACAACTGATAAATGAAAAGAAGAGCTGTGTGTGTGGGGGATGATAGGAGTCCTACAGAAGAGGATAAATCTAATAAAGAGACAAAGAACTGAAAATGTATACGCAGAGATTATTTCAAAWTATTCAAATATTTCACCTGGCTATACAGAAAAACCTTTTAAACCCTCTGATGTTGTGTTGTAAAAAAGAGAAGGTGTGAGTGACTCACTGTGTCTGCGCTGTGGCATGCTGGTACGGGTCAAACCCTGGTGCTGTGCTTGCCAAGGGGACAGAAAGGGGGTGGGCGGCGCACCCTACACAGAGCAACACACAAAGAACAAAAGGCATGACATACCCTGACACAAACAGTGGAAATCAAGCTCGTCATGTAGAAGTAAGGCTAAAGGCATTCATTGCAATCAACACACTTAGCACACCGCAAAAACACATCGGAATATTATGCAAACAACATGTCAGCTTTTGTTGCAATCATATCACTGAAAAGGTGTTTGTTTTAATTGGAAAAAAACTTTTATTCTTCACAAAAACAATACAATTTTAGCACTCCAAGCTGAATGAGTGCGTTTAGAAATTCCATGAAGTTCTTGAAGCATCTAATGCAAGATGCATTACGTAAGTAGGGAGCAGTTTGCAAAAACCAGAGAAAAAAGTTGGCCTTTTCAGACTGAACTTATTGAAAAGTTCTTCTGTGGCAACACAACTCTCGCTGCATCATCTGAAGACTTTACTGACATGCATGGTGTTTTATCTACTACAGTTATCTTTCCCTAAACTTTAGCTGAGAGCACAAGGCTTAGAAAAGAGTTCAGTTTAAAAAAAAGCAAAAGAAAAGAAAAAAGCATTTTCTTTTTATCCCATGGACTGACTTTGCTGTTGCACTCACGTCAATGGTATTTATTAGGATTCTGAAGAAGTAAATAAATAAATTTAAAAAAACAAGCATTTGCTCTAAGTCTTGCTTTCTTTGTTTTAGATCAAACTGGACCTTTACAGAAAACATCTTTAAAAATGGAGCATAAATGAAGTGTTTCAGACGTGTGTACTTTTTCTCAACATAAATTACACACACATATTTTCTGGTACATCTTGTAAAAGAAAATTTAAAACTTATAAATAAGCGCAATGTTTGTTTGTGAATTGAATTTTGAAGTCAAATGATGAAGATAATTAAACACTGAAAGGAGTATCATATTGACTTCCTGCAGGCATTAACATTAGTCATGACTACTGAAAGCATAATTTATTCAATTTTTATAACACATTTGACTGTTGCAAAGTTGGAACTACGCAAAAAAAAACATCTGACGGAAAACTTTACTTCACACACAAGATTTATCTAGAAGTTAAGTGCATTTTTAAAGTGTATCTTACCCCCCAGTGAAAAGATAACTCCGCCCCAAGGCGAAATTTGAAAAATGCATCAAAGTGGGTAGGGGAGGGGGTGTGGGTGGGGAAG